ATACAAGTTAATTAAATACTGCATAGATGACAGTTACATTTATCTAAGCTTTATATCTTTATACCTTTATGTATTTCTGAATTCAAAATTATTAATTTGTTTGGGAGTGGGTTGCCTGCTCTGTGGATCCCTTTGCATTACTCCAATGCTCCATGAACATGTGGAGGGATTCTGTTTTAATGAAAGGTTGATCAATTTACAACTTCATCCTAAGCAGAATGCAGATAAGAGCAAAGGTCTGGACTGGTCTTTGATAGCACATTTCAGAATCAGAACAACACAACAGAAAAGGCCCTGTTTCTCATGCACTCTTAGCGACTATAAGCATGATCTCTTATGAACTTATCACATGGGGGAGCCCCCCCCCCCACATGCTGTTTCACCAGCGAGCATGGTGACTCACCAGCAAGCATGGTGAAACAAAAGACACACAACTCAGTCACCCTGCATGTTGCTCCGGTATGGCAATGCTTTCCTCATCACACAGAGGGGAGTGTCACCCAAACCAGGGATAAGTGTGCTGGATCCATTGAAGCCAACACAATATGAGAAAGCTCGCATGTTTAGAGGGAAGCATCTAAGGATGCTTCCACCCAGGCTGGTGGCGGGGCCAATAGAAGTCACATGATGTCGTGTGATGGCAGGCATAGAGTTCCATCCCTGAATCAGGCTAGAAGTGTTCTGGGTCACTTGATTTGTTGATGTAATGAGATCCTAATGCAATTTCTGTGCAGATCCATATGTCAGCAAAGTAACCTGGTCTTAAGCCTTTTAGCATTTTAAAAGCTAGAGTTGGTACTTTGAATTGAGCCCAAATTACTACAGGAAGTTTTTGAAACTGGCAGAAACTAGAATTATATATTCTGATCTTTTCAAAGAAGTAGCCATATCAGTCTCTTGCAAAGTAAAAAAGGGGAAAGAAATACTGAGGGAAAAATAAAAATAAATGTGGCAGTAACTGATTTCTATTTTCACATATTCATGGTTATAAATGCACTTCTTGAGATGTAATAAAATTGATAATAAATGTTCAAAGTAGTAGGAGTGAGATGGAAAGTAATAGTATCCAGAAAGATGTAAATAATAACCTTTGCCCTACATTTCCAAAGATTTATTTCAGCAAATAGGATGAACAGGACAGTCTCCTCGAGAGAAGATTAAGGGACACGAATTTGATATTAGAAATGGCAACTCCCACAAACCAGTTGCAGAATATTTCACTCTTCCTGGACATACACAGTAAGCCATTTACAGTTCTTGAACATGGAAATTCAAAAGAAAAACCTACAATGAGAAACTGCAGAATTGAATTATATTAATCAATTCCAACCCATTTGCAGAGGAATGAACAGAAGCAAGAGCCACATATATTAATGCAAGAGTCTTCATTACCGCAAGTTAACAAAAAAGGAATCTTCTCAGTTTTGAAAATTTAGGGCAAGGAACATGATTTGCACCTTTTTGGGTCCTATTTCATTCCATCCCACTCCTGCAACTGTGCAAACATACTTTATACCTGAGCATTTATTATAACTTTATACTGCATCTGAAGAAGTAGGTTTACATTCATGAAACCTCGTGTGAATTTTTTTAAAAAAAAACCACAACTAGTCTTAAGGCGCAGCCAATGATTACTATATTTTTCGTCACCCCCAGTTGTCTTCCTTTTAATATTGTGAACTGTAAACATCATATGAGGCAGTCCCCAACTTACAAATAAGATAGGATCTGTAGGTTTGTTCTTAAGCTGAAGTTACATTTTTAAATGTAACTTTAGACATATATATATATATATACACACACACACACACACAGGGAAGGGTTAACGCCCCTGTGATGTTTGTTTTGCTGTTTGTGGCCCTGCCCTGAGAACTGGATTTTGAAAAATCTGGCTTGTTGTTTCCCATGTTAACTCCTTCAGAAGTGAATTTCTCTTCCTACTCTTGTTTGTGACTATGAGTCATTTGTAAGTCAGATGTTTGTAACTTAAGGACTGCCTGTAATAATCTGGATACCACATTTTAACCAACAATAAGTACAGTACAATAAATCAGTGTGCATACAGGAAAAGCATGGAAAACAGACAAATTCTGTTAAAAAGAAGTTGTTAAACAGAAGTCACATAAGTCATATAAGGTAGCTTCTAATATAAAATATTTATTTCTTATTAAATTGTTGCTGAATCTGCTTTACAACACTTGGGCTACTAGCATCCCCTTTTATGCCAGCTTTCTTTTAGGGTTCTGCTATGGTTGCATTGCATATAGTTTTATAAATTATTAATAGTAAAATCTTTAGATAGAACAATTGAGTTTAATATCTTAATACCTAAACAGAGTTTAAAAGCTCATCTTCAGTATTTGTAAAAGGCTATATACTATATGCAATGTTTTGATTTTGTCTTGTATTTCATATCTGTACTAGCTTTGATTGACCAACATGTACAGCTTGACATCAATTACATATCCGCTTTGCCAATTTAATATCAAAAACATCAGGATATTTGCTGGTAGCCCATGTGAGCATAAATGGAAAATCCTTAAATGGCACAAAACTAAAATATGATCCTGAGATGCAAATGCTCAAGTTCTTCTTTTACTTTGGGACAATATATTAAAGATATGAAAGGAAACACCAGAATAAAAAAAAATTAGAGGATTAAGGTGGGGAGTTAGATTCATAACAATTCCAAAATTTATGATTATGAGAATTAAGCAGTCATATTTTTTTTCCTATTGGCAGAATAAGAGGCTCTTAGTGACTGGCTAGAGTTGAAGGATATTAAATCATGATCATGCAAATTTCTATTTGATAGTGCATTTCGATGGTAATATATTAGGTGTTATAAAAGTACACTTGTCTTTGTCGTGGACCTTTGCTACCATATAATAATAACTTTGAAGGGAATATATACTGATTTCTATTCATCAGCAGTACTAATATGAACAAGAGTCTCTCTCAATATGATGGCCCCATGTTAATATGAAATGTTAAGATTTACAGTATGTGTCTCAGTCTAGAGAATATTTCAAGAACATTCTGATTTTCCACATTGAATGACTTCTAAAGCTGGTTTTATCTGTTTGGATTAATGAGCTATTCAATCTTATCAAGATGTTGATAAAAAATTGCTTCGATCGTCTTTCACTTCTAGGCAGGCAGATAGGCCTAGTGGGAATTAGAGTCTAAAATTTTAAAAGCAGTGTATCCATGTCCTACTATATCAGAATAATAGACTCAAACTGTATAATGTAAGTACATATGTAAAATGGAATTTTTTTATTTAAATTAATTCATACAGTCATATGGATATTCTTTTTATTTCATTGATTAGGATATGCTTTTTATTTTGGTTGTTATACACCTGCTGAAAAGGTAAGAAATGGGAATTGCTATTAATCAGCATCACTGGATTAGAAAGAGTTGCTGATGCCATAGGACAGCAATGGGGAATTTGCAAAAGGAGGAGATTCCGTAACTACAGTGGTAGAGCAATCCTAACCTCTCATGATGTTGATACCATTAAGGTAGCACTCAGTGAACTCAAAGAAATCATTGCAGGTTACACAAGAAAAAACAGCTTCTGCAGTGGTTCCCAATCTTTGGTCCTCCGGTTGTTTTGGACTTCAATTCCACGAAATCCCAAGCAGTTTACCAGTTGTTAGGAATTGTGGGAGTTGAAATCCAAAACAGAAGAAGGGCTGAAGTTTGTCCATGTCTGGTCTAAACTATGTAAGTCTTTACATGGCACAAACATCCTTCAAATATTCCTTAACATGGGGGCCAGTACAAGTATCAGAGCACTAGTTTATTGTTCAAACATTTTGTAAGATGAGTTCTATGCAGAATAGGACAGTGGGACACCATGAAAATTCTTGCTTTGTTTTTCATTGATAAAAACAACAGAATTGCTGTAACAGCTATCATAGTTGCTATCACTTCAACTAATATCTATTTTCATAGTTTCATTCAGCATTTGGTCAAATAAAATATGTGATGTCCTTCAAGCCGCCCTTCCATTACATGAAAAATATAGCAGACAAATGTTTACCAAGCAATGCTATTGCTAGAATTCTCTTCATCAAAGGTTAGACTTCAAGATCCTGAGGGCCAAAGAAATCTCACCAAAGTCCATTTTTGGAGTCGCAAGAGTACCTCCCAAATGCACACGAAAAAATGTCTCAAAATGGCACAGAGTCATCTAAAGGGTGAAAACCTCTTAATACTGTTTCTGTTCTCTAAAACATGAATGAGGGATAGGATAAAAAAAAAAAACCAGGCTGCTTTCCACTCTCTTCCTGTTTTTCAAAAGGATGGATGAGATCTACAAAAAGGCAAATGTGGCTTCTGGATTTGCAGGACTATCCTAGCTCTGGGCAACACTGTTTGACAGCTAATCTGATGCTCTATACCTCACAACCCTAGAGAATAATCCTGAGACTTGTTTCACAGAAAACACAATTATGCCATACAGTTAAGGCCCATTTCCTAATGTCTCCACCATCTATTTTGCTTTTATGTCATCTGGAAGATCAGTAATGGATGTAGGGAAGCGCTAAGTTCATTGATTTTCTTTATCAAGAAACATATGGTAACAAGCCTAATTCCATCCACTAAAAAAAGAGTATATTTAAAAAACATTTTTCAGCAGTGTGCCTCTAAAAGTCAGAATATTTACCAACATGACAGTTAAGAGGTGTTAATGAATGATTCATCATTTATATTTGCACAGGCACCACTAATTTAGTGCTGCAGCTCTTCATATAAACCATTAGGAACAGTATGATTATATTGCCCATGCATGAACAGGTGGAAGAGCTTGAGAAAATAATTCTATTTTGATGATGTAAGTAGAGATATGCAAATTATTTTCTCTACATTTTCCTTGTACATGAAAAATGGTATACAAATTAAATTATCTATGTTCTCTCTGAGCACAGTTATTTCAAACAGTGTGCCCCATCCCTCCAGATAAGCATAAGCACAAGAACAAATCTTACCACTCCAATTGAAAAATAATTATTGATGATGCTGTAAGGCACTGGATCTCCTTTCTCATCTTTATCATTGGGTATGACTTCAAATTTCCACCTGTCTAGTAATGTTTCTGTGCTGTTTTCAATATCTTTTAAGATTTTCAGTAGGCTCTCACCTTCATATCCTGCCAAAAAAACAAATACAAATAATATAAATATAAATATAAATGGCTACTATAAAATATGACACAAAATGCCACTACTATACTTCCTCATTTAGATTTTGAGGCAACAATCCCTTAAAAGAGTACTGGGTGCAGAGAAAAAACTTTAGGACATTTTCTTTATCAAAAACTGACATGTTCAGACAGCTGCCAGGATCCTGACTGATGCCTCTCACGTGCCTCCACTTCCATCCCTATGCTACTTCTACTGCTGCTTGGTTAGATTAAGTTTTGGCTATGACAGCAACTTTCTGTTTGATAATATTACCTAACAGTGGTACTACCACTGTTACAAAAAAGCAGAAAACATCATCAATATGCAGCAAGTCCTATGAGTAAGTAAAGCCAATTGGTCCCTTGTCTTTATATTCCATTATAAAGTTAATGCTAGATAAATCAACTAGGCTATCCTTCCAAGGGATGCTGAGGTTTCAACAGCATCACCTAGGACATTACCCTGTGTGTGGATGGGGGGTGGTGTGGTTCATATGCTCATGGTGTTATGTCCTGTTGCATCAAAAAGCAAATCCCATCATTTCTCAGATCCCATCACATGTTGTTCTTTCTTGATATTTCTGCCAAAATCATCAGTTTTCAGATTTGTCACACAAGCAAGTGCAGTTCCCACCCACTCAATTAAAAAAACTCAGGGAAAAAATTGGAGGATACTAGATTTTCCCTTCCAATCCTGATACTCCTGAAGAGACAAGAGGCATTGATCTGGGAAGAGAGGTCCCTTCTGTACAGCTGTATAAAATCCACATTGAACTGGATTATATGGCAGTGTGGACTCAGATAAGCGAGTTCAAAGCAGATATTGTGGATTATCTGCCTTGATATTCTGGGTTATATGGCTGTGTGGAAGGGCCCAGGCACAGCACTGTGAAAATTTAGGCTTTCCCTTCTAATCATGCAACTCCCAAGGAGACTGGAGGTGTTGATCTGCATCCCCACCCCACTTCTCTGGGATCCTCTCCTTCCTCCCAATCTAGCTATTGCAGAATTTCAAAAGAAAATATTAGTATGAAGGAGGATCAACAAGAAAACAAACTTGTGATATTTTGGAATTTCTGTATTGTTAATGTTTACAAAAAAATTACCATGCCAGGCCCACAAAGCAGGATTTTGGGAGAAAAATGTCAATGCCCATAGGATTCACCCTTACTCCACATTGTTGAGCACTTCAACATGGGCAAATTTGACATATCCCATCGCATGTGTTTTTCCCCATTTTCTCAATTTTTTCCTGAGCTCAGAAGATCTCTGCCTATCTTTGTCCCACCCCCACCCCATTTCCAGACACTTCAGAAACACTTCCTTAACAAGACATGATAGATACAAGGGAGGACGTCCTCCTGCATCATCTGATGGGCTCTGTTATACATCGTTTCTCTGCTGTATTACAAGTGTTTAGAAACCGGGGGGAGGGGGGGGGGCTGAGTGGGATAACATCCCTAGTATGAGTAAGTAAGTAGCAAGCTAAGGTAAGTAGCAATGACAGGACATGATGGCAGAGACAGCCCAAATGCTGGAGGAGACTCGTCAATGGCACTGTATCAAGAGTCCACTTAAGTTTGGTATCAGCTCTAATCTAAACTAAAACCTTTAAAAATACCTTTCAACACTCACCCAAAGTCATCTTAACAACCTATCCAGCTTTACTGGAATATGAATTAGCAACAATGCTACTAAGGGTAAAATATTGTGCACTATAGATCTTTCTAGGCATTGTCTAGGTCATCCAGGATCATTCTATGCTATTTGAGACACATTTTTTTTTCTAGGAGAGTAAGATATGAAGGCCACATGTTGTACATGAAACAGAGCAGTCTGATATGGAAAGGAGACTTGGTGTTTTTAAAAAGGGTAGTAGTGAAACACCCTAAAGTAAATATCTAGGGGGATGTATCCTTCTTTCACATTCATCTGAAAAACTGCCTCATGCCCTAACAGAAAGGGTGCAAAATGGGTCTCAATCCCCTTTCCAATGAAAGATGGCTTTGAGAAAAAATATATGTGGAGTCGGAGGTTATTTGCAATGAGTTTAATCTGGATTTTAGCAACAGCATGCTTAGTAATACCTGAAAAAAATCCTAAAGTCTTAGGTGAGGAAACACTTTACACCAAGATTTTATTTTATAGTCAGTCACACCTTTTAAGAATACTACCCACTTCGGTATCCTTAACATTATATGATAGCTTTCAAACTCTTATGCCTCTACTATTGTCTGAATCTTGCAACTTGTGAAAATGTCAATGATGCCCCCCTTGTTATGTGTGATTACTAGAGGGGAAGTTCAATTCTACTTTTTCATTGGGATTGGGATTTATTTTCCTACTGTACACTACTTAAATAATACCAAGCAAAGTAGTAATGGGAACTGACATTGTGAATGGTTAAAGAATATTTAATCAGTCACAATTCATGCCAGAAACTTTTGCCATTGAGATGGAAGTTACTCACCACCAAATAAATTTGTTGGTATCCCTTCTGTTCTCCAATCCTATGAAAAAGTTTCAGAAAGGAAAAAAATCAGTGTTGTGGTATAAGCTACCGTGGCAAAGGAGGCAAAGAATAATGAAAGGAAGAGAATTTGAAGACTAATGCTTCTGACTGTGATAGCTGGTTTGCAAAGTGATTAAGCACTAGTTTAAAGAGAACAGTACATAAATTAGGAAGAAACAGGGTTCCAGTAATGGAGCCAGAGAAGAAAGGCTCTGATACAATGAACTTCTATTTAGCAGTGTTCCAATAGTAGGTGTCCCAACTTTCTTCCATTCTGCATAACATTCCAGACAATCAGACAAAGCAGAAAGAAGTTCCAGAGACAAGGAGAACAGTGGTCAGACAGCTTATGAAATGTTTCAGTGTTTGAGGTCATCTTGTTGTTGACACATCCATGTAGGAAAACAACTCCTATGGCATAATAATGTAGCAGATTCTAGAGCAAAGCTTTAAAATATGTCTACATGCATGAACCAACTATGTATCAAGAAAATCGTATTTAAAGCAAACCACTGCATTGCACAAGGACATCTGTTTATTGACTAAGTTGCAGAAGATGACCGCAAGTGGAAAAAGGAGATAGAACAATAAGTGTTTATAAAATAAACTTAATTTTTCTAAAAAGATGTTCAAAGTATATATAAAGAGAGAAGATATTTTATAAGAAGATGACAAGTTGTATTTTTAAAGTATTATCAATGTCTTTGAAAATGTTACCTTTATCATTTTAAACTGCAAGCCCCTTGGGAAAGATGAAAACTCAATGACTATTTTGCGAGAAATGCATGAGGCGGTTAATATTCTGAAGTAATATACTGTTACTTCAGAGTATCATAAGATGTATTTATCAACAGCAAAAAGAAAAGGAAGAGATGAATTGGCTACATGGACAGACAATGACACTAATCCACATGAAGCCAATCACATTTAGGGCCCAATTATAAGAAACCTTAATGATGATGATGAATACCCTAATGCTTTCAGCAGGATTTAAGACAATTCGTGTTTTCTCAGTTGGGACCTAAACTGGGAAAACTCTAAAGAAAGAGGCTTTGTAACTACCAACATGTAAAACAAAATGTGATAGATGTAGTTGAAATATGATAGAAGGAAATGCTAGTATGAAGATAATATCCAGTTCTCAAATATCAAACAAGAACAAACAATTCTTTGATTTTTTTTAAACAGGATTCACATATCAGTGCAGTGATCACTTAATAATTCATGATTAAGTTTCCTGCCTTCAACCACTATATTTGATATAGCTAGAAGAGTTATCCTTCTATGTTTCCATCAATTTTCTAGAATTCAATTTGTAAGATTATGTAGGTTAAAGAGTAGGTTCTGGGAGAAAGCTACTAGGAGAAGAATAATGAAGTGGAATAGGAGTGGAATAATGAAGAACAATCTCCAAAAATATGTCTTCAAGACAAGCTGAAGGCAACCAAGAGAAGAGACATTTTTATTTGTCTAGACTGGCCACATTCATAATCCATAGTTATCAGAAAATTAACAAGGCTGCAGACTTTTTAGCATTCCAGTCGTGAATTATTTAAATACCAAGACTTGTACTGCAGGAGTTTTAGCATACTGCACATGTGTCAACTTTTAGTGATACCATGCATTTCATATGGTTTCATATTTGCAAGGAACACTCAGATGTGGTTTTGTCAATTCTCTTCTCTGAAATACAGAAGGTTTCTCATGAAAATACTAACTAGAGTTCGTCTTGCTTAGCTTCCAAGATCAGAAAAGTGCTTTTAGGGCCTTTATCACACAGAGGAAAAATCAGAATGCTAAACATTAATGACAGATCAGAGCATATTTATAAAAGGAAAGATTAGAGTGAGCACTGAGATCATGCTCTTGGAGAGCTAAAAACTCCAGAAAAGCCATAACCACAAAGAACTTGTTCCATCTGGTTTAGAAGACAATGCTGTAGAAAGTCAGAAAGAGCTCAAAAGTAAAGACATTTAGACTTAGTTATGAAATTGTAGTGGTAGAGCTAAAGAAAATAGAGATAAAGTTGCAGAGTCCCTGGGTGAGTATAAAAGAACTGCCAAGGAACTCCATAATTGTGAGATCATCACCAAAAATATTGCATTTTGGTGCTAGCTACATTATTGTTAATCCGATGGGCACATGAGCAGCTCAGATAGACCTCAAACAGATGTGAATCTGAAGGCAAGATCAAACAATTAGGCCATTAAGGCTATTTATTCCTAAACTGTTTGGGAGTCTATGTTATCCTGTTTATCATTTTAAAAGTTCAGAGCAGGTTATATAGATTCCTTGTTTTCTCATAAACAATCAGTTCAGGTTCATATTTGCCTAATTTCAATAATGCAGAGTTGTCAGGTGCTCTTTCACAAACCAATGGAAGGAGCACATGACAAATGGAAGGCATGCTGGACATCAAGTGTCATTCATTGGGATCAATCTGATAATAAGGCAGTTATAAACTAGAGTCTTCTTCAGACCGAAAAGGAAGACAACCACTGTTAGGGCCATTTATAAATAAATGGCTCTGGCACTTTAAAGTGGCATTAACTTACATAATCAAAAGGCCTCCTGTTTCCTTGGCTAGATCTTTTCATAGTGTGTTTCCTCTTAATTCCAAAAATCAGGAACTGGGTCTAAAAAATAACTAGGTCCTCATGTTTTCAAGAAGGGAGGCAAGGGTTCAGGAGACTTGATTTTATATGAATCTTCTTATGCTTTTTATTTATTCTTTATTCTTTGCCTCCATGGATCCTGGTAGATAGCACCATAAGACTGATTGTCTGAAATCTAGTGCAGGATGAGAGAAGAAGGAAAGAACTGTATGTATATACATATAAAATATATAAAGGCAAACAAAATTATTAGCACTATGTGACTTAAATTTTGGTAATATTCCTTATAAACACACACAAATACACACATGTTAAACTAGGTATTATATTTTAAAAAAAGCCAGCAGGAAAACTGTTTTTAGTGGAATGAAGTAACATTACTTGGAGCAAAAGAACTGTCATTCAGATTTCAACTATTATAAGCTATCTTCATAAAGATTTCAATCCTGTGCAAACAATATGCCCAGAATACTAAATCTGTGTACCAACTGACTCATACAACTTTCTGTTGTGTGAGTGCTGACTTTGTACACAGACTCTATACAGTAGATTGCATGAATACAAACAATTCAGAGGACAGGATTAATCAGTCCAATCCAATACTTTCTATGAGCCTTGCTTCATGTTCTACAGCTTTAAGGGTTCATTGGTCAAGGTGAATCAGAAGTTGGATATTGTGTGGATGAGCAAGCTTTTACCCTAATTAGCAAGGGAAGCAGACCTCTGCATTTTCCAATCACACATACATAGAATAATGCAAGGCATTTTGGGCATTTCACACTTTCCCTAGTAAGTAGGAAGGTTGATATGCTATGCATGGTATAAAATACCATGACAGCAATGTCAAGACCACTGCTCTAGTATCCTATGAAACATTGTCAGAGAGAATTATCTTAAATGTGAGATCAAAGACAATTTTCATTCATTCATTCATTCATTTATTTATTATTCGAACTTATATGCCGCCACTCCCCTGGGGCTCGGAGCGGCTTACAAGAATGACTAAAATCTAACACAATTTAAAACAATTTAAAAACAATTTAAAAACAGCAAATCAACAATCAAAGGCCTGTCAAAACAGGTATGTCTTGCATGCCCTGTGGAAAGCTAATAAGTCCCGCAAGGCACGGACTTCAGGTGGCAGAGTATTCCAAAGTGATGGTGCCACTGCTGTAAAGGCTCTGCATCTGGTTGCTGTTAGATGCAAGGTCTTGACACTGGGAATTTCCAATATATCTTGGTCCTCAGAACGGAGGGATCTCTGGGGTTGGTAGGGAGTGAGGCGGTCCCTAAGGTACATCGGCCCCAGACCATGCAAGGCCTTAAAGGTGAGTACCATCACTTTGAAAGTGATCCGGTGCTCAATTGGTAACCAATGCAGCTGTAGTAAGATTGGTATTTCATATTGTTAATAAATATACAATGGCTAAAACATTACATCTAAAGATGTAGTGGTTTCACCATATACAATTTGGCTGCAAAATGAGATTTAGCTTACAGAATAATGTATATTTACCTCCTCCCCATCTCAGACACCTGGCTAAGTCATTCCCAGTTCCAAGGGGCAGAATAGCAACAGGAGGATGCTTATTCAAATTTGCTTTCTCTGTGAATAGAAGAAGTAGAGATGGTAAAATGCTAAAGGGAAGCAAACTAACATATAAATAAAAAACAATATTCGAATATATGAATGGGGTAAATTTTGACACAATAGTTATTGAAGCCTAGAATTTAAGTAGTTTAGATCCAGGATCAAAATGGATATCTGGAGACCCATGTTGTATTAATTTATAGGTAACATGGAACTTACTCTTATCAGGTTGTAGTTATACACAATACATGAAATAATTGTGCCCACTGTTGCTCTCCAACCTCGGAACTCTCTTCTCCTCAACCAAAGCATTTTCTGGAAGGAAAACTAGTCTACCTTCTCTTTGGGAATGTAGACATAAATGTAACTTATTGTAGCAGTTGTGGTTTTCAAATATGTTAAGCTAATAAAGTTTTCACATATACATCATTTATAAGATCACCACCCAAGGAGCTTTAGAAAAAGAGTAGGACATACATCCCAAAAACATGTGAGAAGAACATCCTTCTTTTTCAAAGTCAAGAAATACAGTCTGCACTCTATAATCTACTTTACTAGAACACAGTATTACTCGAATCATGTACGATATAGCCTATAGCATCACTATAAGTCAGACATTCTATTTGATACGTGCTTTCTCAGTGTATTCTTAAAAGCATTCACTGAAATCATAACTTGATTCATACATGTTAGCCCCTCCCCTGGGATGGGGGCAAAACACAATTTACAGAAGGCTGGTGGGAGAATAAGTCCCGTAGCAGGCATTTGAAATAAAAATGTACAGAGGAATTTGTTCAAAGGGGGAACTGTAAACCTCAGGTGAATTGGAAAGTTTCTTTAAGATAATCCAAATAGTTAAACCAAATCACTTGCCAGTTGAAGGTAGTCCTGTATCTTCTTATGATGGTGTAGAGAGCAAGACATTAACAATAATCTTACTTTTGCTCCACATCAAATTACAATTAATTAAAATTTATTGAGAGCAGCTCAGTGTAACTAAAAAGGTCCCACAATAAAGTATTTTTAATAATAAGCTGTATATAAAAATGTTAGTTACTGCTTAAACTTTCTTTTTCAAAATTTCCCTAAACTCTCATGAACCTACTTCCTTTTTGTAGCATCATCCTTTTAATTACTGTATTTTCTGGCGTATAATGCTACTTTTTAACCCAGGAAAATCTTCTCAAAGTCAGTGATCATCTTATATATCGGGTGTCATCTTATAGGGCGGGTGCTGAAACTTCCGAGCTGGACAGGAGAATTTGCAATCACCACAAATAGTTGGGGGAGCTCAAAAACGGCCATGGCCACATCCCCACTGTATGAGGCAACCGTATGAAAGCAGCAAGGGTGGTGCTGTACAGGTATGGTAGAAGAAAATCCACTCACCAGGATTCATGGAAAGAAGTGACTTAACGCAGTTCCAATGATGAGGTGAGGGGGTGCTTCACTGGGAAGGTGTAAGTGAATGGTCGATCAAGCTGCAGGTGTTCAGAAAGCTCAGGGTATTGGAAAAAAGGGATAGAATGGTGCTGTGCCCAGAAAAGCATGCCTCTTTCACCCATCTGGCCTGTATCTTATTACTGTACCTCCTTCTCTGCCTCTCAGATCTTGCTCCTGAGGACTGGAGTGAAGCGGAGCAGGCACACATGTGCGAGATCTGAGAGGCAGAGAAGGAGGTAATAGGAAAATTACCATACTGAAATCAAATCTGATGTTCTTTTAATTTTTATTTAGTATGTGTTGGAAGAAGGGTAGTCTTATATGGCAAGTATAACCCAAAATCTATATTTTAACTGGAAAAGTTGCGGGTTGTTTTATATGCCCAGTTGTCTTATACGCCAGAAAATATGGTACACTAAATACAGAGCAGAAGAGGTCAACTTTTCTCTGGTAAATCTCAAAATCAAATGTATGCAAAAGTTAAGTTTTAAAAGGGTGATGGATATGTTCTCTGCACTACAAAACATTTTAAAATGATACCATGTTACCTATGCAGTCCAAAATCCAACCCACAGTCCCATCGCCACCACATGCCAATACTCGAAAATCCGAAACATCTCGGAAAAAATTTAATCTGAAAAGAAAAAAAAAACAAGCAGTTAGACCCAATCTTGATTTCTGAACACACTAAGAAGAGAGTCCTAACACAGCAATTCCCTTTGCACAGATTTGGAAAAACTGGCTGAAGTCAGCTTGTTGCAGGACAGCACATACTTCATAGCGATTATAATTCTCAAATACAATGGGCCATCCTATAAGGGCACTAGTCATAAGATGCTAATTACTGCAAAGTGATCCAATAAAATTAGTTTCATTATAACATGCAGTTTATTATAGTGAGCAGCATGATATTCATCTCCTGGGAACTATATTTTAATGTATAAAGATTAACTAGTATGTGGATGCCAAGGAGCTGTAAAGAACATCATTTATCAGACAGAAATCTATGCAACCTACAGCTGACTGCAACAGTTTTCAAATACAGGCAAGAATCAAATTAAATTTTGTGTTACAAAGGAAATATGCTGGGCTCAGAATGCAAGGTGAAGTAAAATCATCTTCAATGAAATTAGGTTTGAAGTTCATGGAAAGGAGGAGAGGGTAACTTTTAAATATATTTGACTGATGATACATCATTGGGTTCTAGGGGCCAAAAGCTGAAATTCAGAGCAAAAATTCACCTGTTATGTAAAAATGTGTACATATATTCCAGCATACAAGCCCATATGCATGTTGCAGCTAACCGTGAATTGCACATTTCCATCAATATATAACATTCACAAAACAGATATGATATTTACAGAGCAGAAGAAATATATGACAAAAATTTCATGTAGGTGACTTTTTACAGACTATTCAAATTCTAAGTAAAACACTAGATGTGTTATATAAGCCACAAGCTTTACATCATTTATAATCTCAGTTAATGACAAAACACCATAGGACATAAAAAGAAATCAGTATCAATGACAGCGGGAATAATGAGGTAGCATTGCTACTTGTTCAGGGAGAGAGAAAGACAGCCGAGCTATGAACACAAAGTAGGTCACCACCTGTTTAGCCATTATTCACTGACAGTATTTTGCAGGCATGAAATAGAAATGTATTTTAAAGGACAAATGCATTTAAACAGTCCATAGCTCACAATTCTGTGAAGAAAAGTGTGTCACAGGCTCAAGTCCAACAGAGATAACTGTTGAAGAAATATGTAATAGAATGGCTAATTATTACAGTTAAGGCCATAATCAACAAATGAGTTCTTGTTTGAGGAAGAGGAAACTTTAAGTAACAAGTGAAAAAACAATCAAATGAAAAAGAAACCCCCTCAACTCTTGTGATTACTGATCATCCTGTGATTAATCATGATCTGCCTTGTACACAACAATGCAACAGCATGTGGAGGTCAATCCACCATCTGCTGTCCCCTCCACCAATGCTGCCCACCTTAAATTGCTCCAGGGTGTCAGGAAAGCCTCCAGAACTGGTTTTCAGACTTAGGATGAAAGGCAATTGACTCTGTTTTCACATAGATATTAGAAATCCAGACATTCTAGAAGTCCAAGTATTCTTAGCTTTAGCTGTAGGTTTGTCTAATATGCATTCAGACCCTCTTCTGATTCATATATGATTTGGGTGTCATTTGTATTTTTTTAGCCAAACTTCTCTCCATTTTGGTCTTTCTGGAACATCTTTTCCATGATATTGATTGTTTTATTTAAAATAAGATGATATCATAAAAATTGAAATTATAATGGTCACCAGCAAAATAGGAACATTAATAATTTCTAGTACTCAGCCAGCTATGGCCATTCTGCCTAACAAAGCACTTTAGTTGTCCCTGGACTACACATAGTAGCTCAATTATTATAATATTATGATTATATTATAGCAATGACCACTAAAGATAAGAAAACAATTCATAGAAGGGGTGGGTAGAAATGTAAGTATTCTAGCTCAAATTACAAAGTATAGTGGGAAAAGTACTATTGTTGGCTTACCCTCAATCAAATTCTCTGGTCCCATTTCCCCCCAATTCTTTCCTCAAAGGAAAAAAACTCTTCGCCTTAGGGAGTCTAGGCAATGGGGAATGATGTAGGAGAATAAGCACAGAAATGTCTAAGTTTACATTTATAAACAACTGTCTCTCTACAGGGGGAAGTACAGGTACTTAGGGTTTCACATGTGTTTTGCCTTACTTGATCAATTGCGTCCTTACTGGTAGACTTAGGGTGCTTCCACACAGGGCAAAAATCTGTGCCAAAGCAAGTTTTAATAACTCACTTTTGCGTGGGTTTCTGTCCCCACTCCTCCAAAAAAAACCCCAAGGCTTTCTTTTTCTTTTTAGTCATCCTGACACCACCACCCCCACCCACACCCACCCAGTTTTCCTGCTAAAAGTTAAGGTACTTGGCCACCGTAAGTTTCCTCCTCATGTCCTCCTGATGTGAGGAAATGACACCTGAGGAGATGGGAGGGGTGAAGAGGAAAATCCCTCCTCATTCGTCATTTTCTTGTGAAGAGGAAAGTTATGGCAGCCAAGTATATTTTCTTTAATTTTTAGGAGGAAAATTGGGGCTTTGAGGAAAAGGGGTGGACACCATCCCACATCTTTGGGTTCTAGGGGCCAAAAGGGAGCAAAATGGCAATGGAGACTACCTAAAAGTGAGTCTTCACAGGCCCAATACCACAGACCTGGGCCTTTCTAGAAGGCCCAAATATAATGGGGATATCTAATTCATTCAGGTCCAACCGAAGAAACCTTGGTTTGTTCTGAATTAATTTGTCTTTTGTTGTTCATTCGTTCAGTCATCTCTGACTCTTCGTGACCTCATGGACCAGCCCACGCCAGAGCTCCCTGTCGGCCGTCACCACCCCCAGCTCCTTCAAGGTCAGTCCAGTCACTTCAAGGATGCCATCCATCCATCTTGCCCTTGGTCGGCCCCTCTTCCTTTTGCCTTCCACTTTCCCCAGCATAATTGTCTTCTCTAGGCTTTGCTGTCTCCTCATGATGTGGCCAAAGTACTTCAACTTTGTCTCTAGTCTCCTTCCCTCCAGTGAGCAGTCGGGCTTTATTTCCTGGAGGATGGGCTGGTTGGATCTTCTCGCAGTCCAAGGCACTCTCAGCACTTTCCTCCAACACCACAGCTCAAAAGCATCGATCTTCCTTCGCTCAGCCTTCCCTAAGGTCCAGCTCTCACATCCGTAGGTGACTACAGGGAAGACCATGGCTTTGACTAGGCAATGGATCTTTGTTGCCAGTCTGATGTCTCTACTCTTTACTATTTTATCGAGACTGGACATTGCTCTCCTCCCAAGAAGTAAGCGTCTTCTGATTTCTTGGCCACAGTCTGCATCTGCAGTAATCTTTGCACCTAAATTTGTCTTTACCAGAGGCATAAAAAACTGTCTGGATGGACCTGTCTGGATGGGCCCTTAGATCACTTCTACACTGCCATATAAAATCCTGATTATCTGCTTTGGACTGGATTATCTGGCAATGTAGAAGGGCCTAAATAGTCTTTGTCCTGGCCATGTAAAGACTGCCTCTGCCCTAAACTACATTTCCCAGAATTCATCAGAAGCAAACCACACAATTGGAAAATGAGGACCTGTGTTTTAGAGATCTAATGTGATATTGTGGCTATTCTACATATCAGATATGTAAACCTAATTTTTCAATGGATCCATATTTCCCAAAGGAGATAACATGTTTGTAGATGAGCCTCATCAGATCAACCCCCCCCCCCCACACACACACACACCAAGGTTCACAAAGCAATCTCAACATCATTCATATAATGGATGTTGTGCTCCTCTGCATCCTTCCATTGCAGATACACAATATTTTGGCTGATATACACTAAATGTCATAAATCCACAATAGTATACATATAACAACTGGGGGAAAAACAATTACTAGAGACAGTTGGACATTTCTAGTTCAATAGTGAGTGTACTACAAAACACTGCCAGGAAAATGCAGGAAAATTGTGATCTCTCCACTATTTCATAATGATGTACAGATGAACAGCTATTTGCACATCTGTTATTTACATATAAAATGATTTGTTTATTCTTCAGCACAATTAAATCTACAGTAACAGTTGTTAACAGAACTAGATGGCTCCTATAGAGATATAACCACTAAACACTGAAAGTCTTCAGGGTAAAAATGTGTGTATTATAAATTGCACAGTGCTTAGAAATGGTAATTTTCATGTCACTTAGTTACTTGCCTTCTCGAACTTGCACTTATTTTCTTATGTTTTAATTTCAATGTCAACTCTCACTACTGTATTAACGACAGTTGATTTTTTCCCTACAAATTATTATTTTTAAAATGTAAACCTTCAAGGAGGGAGAGATCAACATATTTAAGAGAGAGAACAGATATTGCAAAGAAATATAACTGAACCCACCAGGATATCTCTCCAGGACAGACCTTGTTGCCAATGTGTAAGTCATAATATTATAATATTATATAATATTGGATACACAATATTTGGATCACATCCTGATAAATTTATATTAAACTGGACATCACAGTTCAAAGACATTGTTTGCAACTCATATCAGATGTTATATTGCTTGACAGTGAATTTCTCAAGTTAAATGGAAATATCATTATCATCACCATTCCATAATAATGGGACTAAAGAGCTGCTTGGGCTTAAACAGAGACTTGCACTTAACCCACTGCATTTTTATATGAATTTTCTTTGACTAGAAAGATACAGTACATTCTGTATTACATGCTGCCTCCCAGCACTACTCTTATTTTCAAAAAGGGCTTTCCATGTGCATGTGTAGGATGCTTTCGATTTGAGAAACATAATTAACAGAACCATTTTAATCAATTTTTGGGGTCCAGCTACAGACAATTATTTTAAAAAATTAAACAGATGAGAAGCTGTCTGAGTTTAAGAAGGCATGCATAAGAATACTAACACAGAGAGAGAATCTTTGGGAAAGAATTATTTGCAAAGTATAAGAAGTATACACCCATAAATCACTGTTTTACAAGAACTAGGACAAGTGAAAGTGACAAAGACCAGATAAAATCTTAGGGGATATAAAAAGGCTTTAGTGAGATAGACATATACAAATACATTTGTATTCATTCCTACTTCACTGACTATTAAATGCCAGAAGTCAGTAAGAAGTATAGTCTGGCAAGAATGCCCTCATTAAATGATTTTACATCAGAGTAGGGAAACAAGTATGGTTCTTCTAGACTCGAGCTCTCATCCATCTCAACCCATGTATCTAATATATGGGGCAATGTGAGTAGTTGTCATATCTAGAGTGCCAGAGGTTCCCTACTGCCTTAGAACAGGAGTTATTTTGTATGGTAGCAGACAATCTCAACATGTATGCCTTTAAGAACTAGAAAAAGGACTCTGTATTCTCAGAAATCCCCAGGAAGCTCATTATGGGATTCTAACATAGGTAAGATTTCACTTGTGATAAAAATACAAGAATTGGCCTAGTGACTATTGAATTTTGTAAGAGATCTGCAAGCATTGGTCATATAACATTTTTTCAAAGCATGGTCATTCCCATTTATGCTGAAGGTGACAGGTGCCACTGAAATTATGTTTTCCATCTTGGGCACCCAGGATAAGTCATGCAAGCTGTCATGTATTATGTTCTGCGGTGATGGTAGGCCTAGCAGTTGGTGATGGAAGGGTTAATGTAAGTCTTAGTTCTAAAGGGTTGAGTAATCTATAAGTAAGAATTCATGGGTGAAAGCAATTAAGGGTGGAGGTATGCAAGAGATAGGTTGCAGCTGGGTGTTTCTGGATATAATGAGCTAGCCTTGGGACTGATCTTCAGGAGAAAAGTATTTGTTTTATATTGGTGGTAGGTGCTGCTGGTTTCTCCCAGGTTTGTGGATTTTTGATGTCCTGATCTGTCTCCTGAAACTTTAGAATCATGGAACCTTGAATCTTTGGACTGGCTTTTGATTAAGGTATAGACTCTTGATCCCTGGACTTTGCTTATTGAACTCTCGGTGTTTAACCACTGGACTGAACCTTTTGACTACAGAGTTATATTGAACTTGCAACAGTGTTTGATGTTTTTGTTTTGTATTCTGTGGCTGAGTGCAATCTTTGTTTTATATTTTGGACTATTAAAACAGCCAGAAAGCAAGTCCTGTTTTAATTAAACTACTTGGTACAAAGTGGGTATTTGTTTGATTCATCTCTACCTGAATAATGCAGAGCCCTGGCATTGTGACACAAGCTGCCTTATAAACTGGAATGGACTCCAAATATAATACTCTTACAGCAGTAGGTAACAGCTGATAGGAAGGGGAGAAAGCCAAAGTATTGTGAGTAAGTGGCACCTACTCTTTGATTGCTTATTTGTAAAACTGAAATACCCAGATTTATAAGTCATTTTTAAAGAGAATAATTTTTATAAAGCTAATTGTTTACCCAGAACTGAGAGTGTTTTGATTGTGTATTTCTGTGTGGCAAAGGGTTCGACTGGATGACCCTTGTGGTCTCTTCCAACTCTATGATTCTATGATAATTGCATGCACTTCTAGATACACATATTCACTGGAAAATTGGAATTAAATTAAATGTAGACAAGAAGAAGAAAAATACACTAAATAAAGTCTTTCATAGCATTGGTTAGGTAGTTAATTAGAATTTTCTGGAATCATTTTATTCTGTAGCAGAAGTTAAACTTTCTAATAACTTCGAAACTGAGATAACTGCAAAATGTAGGAATTAGCCTTTGCTGAAAACTGCCCTCTTGTGGCTGTTACAACTTATTTTTACTGTCCTTAATACATTTTTTTAGAAAATATATCCACAGTGCAAATAGCATAAACAATTTTATGCAGCCATATATACACCACTGAATTCAGTGCACTTTACTCCAGGTAAGTAATTATAGGGTTGTAGTCTAAAAGCTAATTTTAAAATTTCAGAAAATCTTCAAGCACAATCTTTCAATTTACTATTAAGTCACAGAGAAATTTACAAACCAGCAGCAGAGAGTTTCAGTAATTTTTCATATTAAAAACAAAAAACTCTGCTACTATTCATTCTGTAGCACAAGTGGAAGATGTTTGGAATGTATTTACCATATTAAACCATTCTACAGAATAAATGGCAAGGCAATGATAAAGTATAAGACAATGCAGGACAGGTATGCAGCATGATGAAATGGAGAAAAGAGGTAGACTGTGCACAAGGAGTGTGATAAAAACGTTGTGCCGTGCAATCAGTAACTTCCATACTATAGTTAGACCTTGCATATATGCAGTATTTCTGCCATTAAATTTAAGTTGCTAAGAAACCTAAAATCAAATATTGCTTTTGACTCTAAGTAGGGTCAGGTCTTGCTAGTATTTACATGAGGGACCAATGAGAAACATGAGTGACCACCAAGCAGGTTGAAGAGAGAATCCTGCTTGATATTCTGGAGATTTGCTGCCAGTCCAAGCTGACAGCAGGTAGAAATCAACTTTTCATGTTTCTATATACAGTAGAGTCTCGCTTATCCAACATAAATGGGTCTGCAGAACGTTGGATAAGCAAAAATGTTGGATAATAAGGAGGGATTAAGGAAAAGCCTATTAAACATCAAATTACATTATGATTTTACAAATTAAGCACCAAAACATCATGTTTTACAACAAATTGATAGAAAAAGCAGTTCAATGCATGGTAAAATTTTGTAGTAATTACTGTATTTATGAATTTAACACCAAAACATCACAATGAATTGAAACAGCTGTAGATCTGGGCGGGAGGCAGACTGTGTTGGATAATACAGAATGTTGGATGAGCGAAGGTTGGATAAGTGAGATTCTACTGTACTGCAGTGCTTAAAGGAGCCTTCAATGCATTTCAGTTATGCTGCCATTTATTTTATTTGATAAGGTTGGGTACATTATAGAGAACATTTAACCTTAGACTTACCCTGGCATTGGTCCATTTGCAGCAAGGTTATAAACTTGACGTGGATTCAAAAGATACTGAAATCTTCTATGAATTCTGCAGTTGAACAAAGAAATATTTGTTTTATGCTCCATTCACTTGCTTAAATTAATGTTTTTAGACTAAGAAAAGTTCATTATTAAATGCATTGTATACTTATTAATGTCCAAGTTTAAAGCTTATCCTTGAAAGATGCAGTTCCATGTGCAACAAAGAAAGCAAAGCCAATTAATATGAACTCCTAAGGTTAAGATGAATAGCAGAACACAACCTCTTGCCATGGAGGATGGCAGGCATACATTTAAAATAATAGACAGGATCTAGCCCAGTGGGATTTTCATTAACTCCCCCTCCCCCCTTTGAACATGAAGCTCCATCAAAAAATAGCTTTTGCAACTGTCCTCCATTTGAAAAGCCATTTTTCATGTGGCATGGTGAGCTGAACTAGTTCCTTAGGTCTTCAGATCTTAGCCATTGTTTCTATGTACAATAAGAAAAATGGGGCATATCTAACAAGTGAATAAAGGACAAACTAGATATATTGTAGCAGTCCCATTTCACGGTTCAAAATCTCTCATTTATATATATACTCTCCAAGTGTGCTATCATTTCAATCATTTTTCTCTTACCCTATTTCAATACAGACAGAAGACATATGACTGGATGCTCTTTTAGATAAACTTATCTTTCAGATAAAATAAGAGAAGAGCAGGAGATTATTAGAGCAGAGTCGTAACATCTAAACACTGTATTTGGCCATACTACAAGGACACTGATGTCCGCACAAGACACCTGTGAAGACTATGAACTTTGCTAGAGACCTTCAGCCATCCAGCAGCAGAAACAGGGAAAAGAAGGTGCCAGCCCAGTGAGGCTGGACTGGTTTTACTAGTCTGGGTAGATTCAACCCCACTACTGTAAGGCAACTTCAGGGCCAGAATGGAGTATGCATTAAGTTATCAGTGTAGATCTGCAATTTATTTATTTAAAACTTTTATATCCCGATCTTCTGCACCTCCGTAGAGGGACTTAGACCGGCTTGGTATCAAATATCCAAATTGCACATATTGAGTCTGGATTATGTATTTAACTCTGTGTTAACAACTCTGGTTTTTGTAGATGAAGTCCTAAATCAAAACAGACCCATTAAATCAATGTGAATTTAACAAGTTATCAAGTAAATTCCATTGCTTCAACAGATCTATTCAAGTACGGAACTAACAATTGTTTTTAAGTTCAAAGTTTTAGTATTTCAGATGAAGGCTTTTTATCATGGCCATGGAGTGTTTAGTTTGCAGTGAGTTCTTTAAATCCTCCAGTGAAGAAGACATCATTGTTTCCCCTTTGAATAAGTAAGATTTTAGAGGTTATGTGAATTTGTGTGCTCTGCTATATTTGGTCCTTTCTGTTTACTAGACACAGTTTGCTGTTTGTTGAAACTTGTGACAGCTTCATGACACATCATAACAATGACAGCAAGCATCTCAAATTCACAGTCCGTAGTAGATATTTTGTCAATACTGTTTATAACTAGTTCTGGAAGAGGAGAAAATATCTATATTTTAATATACATATGCAAATCCCCTCCTTATTATTGTACTAAGGTGGCAGAAATCACATCAAAGAAATTCTGAGGTTCACTGTAAGTACCAGTTGATTGACCTCTCTAAACAATTTTATCAGAGGTTCCAGTTACTTATTGATTATATTTGTTTTTTGTTGTATGGACATATGTTGGAATTTACATAGTCTGGAAATTTGAATCCGTCAAAAAAACAAAGTTAAAGATTTCCAAAGCTTCTAACAGTCATGTTTACTTCTGGTGCCATTATATTACTGTACTTAAGAAATCATTTGGTATTGAAATGTAGAAAAAATATTTCCTTTGTGACCATGTCTTTAGGCATCATACTTCTTCCATCTGTGAATTGATAAAGTTTATAGCAAAATTATCAGAGAACACAGAATTCGTACATTGAACATGGTTCCAATTCATTTTATTGCTGTTAATGTACTTATTCCATGTGAAATGTAACTAGGAAATGTAATATACACTCAATTATTGTCTTCAAGAAATAATAATAATAATAACAAGAAATGGTTACTTGATCAAAATTTCAAAACCAGCTGTGAACCCCAGATATAGGTGTCCACTGAAGCAATGCACAGAAGTACAGGTTTCTGTTCAAAACTTGATTCATTCTGTCCATTATATGTGGACAGAATTCCAACTAAATTCACAATGGCACAAAATGTCAATAAAACCATCTGAAAGTGATCAGCAACAAATACATACCTTTCTCCCTGCTTTCCACCACTTTTAGGGTTGACAAAAATTAGAAGAGGATGAGTACCTGGAAGGGGTGTAATCTAAATTAAGGGAATACCAAAGAAAACCATTATTTATTTACTGTTTCATTGAACTTGACATTATATATACATAGAAAACCAATGGCTTTTTCTATGTGGAAATTCAATATAGCATCTGCAAAATAATTTGCTGAAATGTAAGTGAAATATGTACAGTATAATACATTTAATATGTGTACCATGCAACTGCATTTCCAAATGAATTACTAGATATCAGATATGAAGTCAGCCAGTACAGGAAATGCAGAAGAATTTAAGACTTGGATTTTGCAGCTGGTGTTGAATGACAAATATTCAGCAGCAGCAAATCCATTCAAAAAACAACAACAACACATTAATATTGAAGACAGACACAGTAATCGTTTAAACACAACTACAGTGGTATCCTCCTTGATTAGTAAGGAAAGAGTATAGTTCAGGGTCCTCTTCATTTCCCCAGGCAATAATGAGGAAAGATCTATGAACAGAGGCACATATGTTTCCACCAAGGCAACATTACAGACTGTATCAAAGATTGTCACATATTTAATGCTTATCTAGAGATTTAATCAATTGTACTTATTTAGTCTAATTCCAGGGTTGTTTGTTCCTGTGAATGAAGCATAAAACAACGTTTCTCATTGTGACAAAGATGGACTGCCTGTTAGATGTCCCTACGGATTCAGGTTAATTAATGAGGCTCATCTTAAGGTTATACATGATATATTACTTCCTCTAATTAGAAATAATAATCCTGATCATTATGCTGGTTAAGCTAGAAAGAAATAAGATGAATGTGCTTAACTATGATTAATAATAGTTGTACCTAAGTAGTGGTCTCCTCTGCCACTGAATTGCCTGCACAATCTTGTATGTCTGTGTTTTTTTCCCTTCATACTTATTAAGTAATAGAAAAATATTTATGGATAAATATTTCAAAACTGTACTTTTTACAATACGCATTGTAAAAAGAAGAGTCTTTGGGCTGCCAAAACCTAATTATCAATTTTTCATTATTAAAAGGAAGGGATAACACCACATTCAATGTATGCATTACATGTTTTCTAACTGATATAGATAATGAGATAACAAAACACAAATTAGAAGATCTTTCAAATTTCATCAGTCGCTGTCCTGCTACAGGTACAGAACTTCTTTTTACAGAAAATCTATCTATGTTCTTACACTTCAGTTGGTGAAATACAAGACATCATGAGAACATTCTGTATTCTTGCTTTCCAATTTTACTTCAAAAATCCTTTCTGGTGACATCTATAGTTATTTAGATGTGTTGGGTAAAAGTCATTACCTAGATACCCGGGCATTCATTGTTGATGTCTCTGACATTATAAACAGCTACATAGCTATATATTTCCATTCTACACCAACATTCTAGCCCACTCCACATATTTCTAGTGCACCTTAAAAAATATGGAAAGGGCAACTTGATTTTTAATGGATATTTTTAGGAAATCACTTATACATTCATATATGATTCATTGAACATAGTCCTTCACTGACATTACAAATTGCAGAGAGATAATATATACAACTGTAATCACATACAGTATTAAAGTTTCTTCACTATTCTTTGATGACGCCTGATTTTAAATAAAACCTCAAAATTCATACAATTAGAATAACATAACTGATATTGTAGATGCAAATGACTGCCAGTAAATATTTTCCCTATTACCTATGGATTACACTCGTAGCACTTCTACCACTTAGTATACCCTTTTGGTATAACATTTAAAAGTAAAATGCTACACCAGTTTTGAAAAGCAGGCATGAAAGTCCTGTGCAGATGGTATTCCTAGAAAAAGAACTGGAGAAACTGCCAACATTTATGTCCTATTAGGAAAAAAATGTTCTCTTGAATGTTACTGTTCTATTGCTTTCTCTACACGCACCAGAAGATACATGGAGACACCTGGAGGTTATTTCGTCATGTAATTTCTTAAACAATATCATAGCTACAGATTGTGGCACTAATGTTTCAGATGTGGGAAGCATATTTAAATCTTGATATATAATTATTATTTGTGCTTATGTAACCAATAAATTTAACCAAATTATAGTGGCCCTTTATTTGCAGTGACAAATTTGCTTTAGTTCTAGTCTATGCCCTGTAATTGAGTTCTATATTATGTCCTGTAATGAGAAAATTTGAAATACAGTATGATCCCTATATCCTATAGAAATGAAGGACTTCTGGCCCAAGATGATCACAGAATTGTTCTGGAAGACATAGAAAATACCTAACTAGGACATGTTTCATTGGGCATGGGATAAATAAAGTCATGGATACCAGTTCCATGAACACAGTAGTTATTCTGTATACAATTTAGTAAGCAGATGTCATTTTTATCTAGGTCTACTGAATATGATCATGTTTGTCTTCATTCTGCTGTCAGTAAAGGTGGTATGTCTGTTGTTTTGTAGAGGGCTGTAAAAAAAGAAAAAGAAAAGAAGTGAACCACACCTGAAGGCCTTGTCCATCCACAGTGACTGAATTTGCTCTCTGCATCTTATTCCGGTCACCTAGTTTGTCTGACTGCTGAGAACTACTTCTTTCCTTTTGCACAGTTGCTTGCCGTTCCTAAAAGGGAGGCAGGAAATAATGATGAACGAGTTTCACATTTTTATTATGGTGAAAATGGAAGGGTCTCAGCCTGGCACAACACATTCAAATACTGCATCAGTGATAATGAGTTCAGTGATTGCAATCAAATCATTAAATGAAGCCCAACTTGACATACATCTATTTATGTATCTAGACATATTAGTGGTTAGATAATAGATAGATGGTAATTATTTTGTCACAATAAGTACAAATGCAATGGCATGAAGTTGGCAATACAGTGTGATGGCATCTAACTGTATAATCAAACTCGTCAAATAAGGAAATTAATTAGATGAGGTTTCCCTTCTATCTCTTGGAGTGAAAACCACTGAAGACCACATTTGTCTTCACCACCTGGGTCATGCAGAATCTGAAGTGGCCCCCTCTGGTCTTGAGGTAAAGACTGTTCCAAGGATAGATCAAGCCAATCATACCCCTTAAGACACTTTATGGGTCTGACCTGCCAATTCATTGACCAGAAACACCTCTAAACCACACTAGAAATTACCATGTAAACATGGTCTTGGTAGCCACATGCAATCCCTGAGTGGCACTTTTCACACTCCTGTTAGACTAAAAGCATGCACAAATCAGATAACACAATGCCTGTATAATATTTTTTTTTAAAAAAAAGAAGTTGTTCTTACAAGTAGGCCATTAAAAAAAAGGTTTGCACTTCCAAGTGCACAAGTGGAACAGCCATAGGAAGACAGAGCAGCTGAACATGAACAGGCCCAAAGTTTCATAACATATAGGCTATGGATCTCCTCAGATAAATAATCTGAACTTCCCATATTGGTTTTGGCATAAAAAATATGTGAAGTTATAATGCATAATTCATGCTATATGACATTTTATGAAATTGGAACAGCAATCCTGTAGATATTTGCTAAGAAGTAAGGTACACTGTGTTTATGTGAGCCAGGACTATTTGAGGAAAAGGGAGTGAACTATGGTAACTCCAAATATTGCTTGACTATCACCCCTATTATCCTGGACTTTTGGATAAGATTGTTGGGACTTAATTTTAAAACTCAACATTATCAGGAGAATATAGGTTTCTCAAACCAATAATTCAGGATTGGAATCTCAAGTGTTCAAAAGCCTCAGTTTTGCTTTCACAAAATGGTTAATTGGTTTAAAGAGATATGCAAATCCTATATTATAGGCTCTCAGAAGAAAGGCAGGGAGTTTCAGAAAAAAACATCTATTTCTGTTTTATTAAATATTCTAAAGCCTTTGACTGTGTGGATCATAATAAGTTGTGGCAAGTTCTTGGTGGTATGGGCATACCAAATTGCCTTGTCTCTCTCCTCAGGAATCAAGTAGCAAAAGTAAAAACTGACCATGGAACAACAGACTGGTTCAAGATTGGGAAAGGCGTATGGCAGGGTTGCATACTCTCACCCAACCTATTCAACTTGTATGCAGAACACATCATGAGATGTGCGGGGCTTGACTAATGCAAGGCTGGGGTAAAAATTGCTGGAAGAAGCATTAACAACCTTAGATATGCAGATGATACCACTTTGACGGCCGAAAGCGAGGAGCCGAGGAGTCTTCTAATCAAGGTAAAAGAAGAAAGTGCAAAAGCTGGGTTGCAGCTAAACATAAAAAAACCAAGATTATGGCAACAAGAATGATTGATAACTGGTAGATAGAGAGGGAAAATGTGGAGGCAGTGACAGATTTTGTATTTCTAGGTGCAAAGATTACTGCAGACGCAGACTGCAGCCAAACAATCAGGAGACGCTTACTTCTTGGGAGGAGAGCAATGACCCATCTTGATAAAATAGTGAAGAGTAGACATCACACTGGCAACGAAGATCTGCATAGTTAAAGCAATGGTATTCCCCATAGTCACTACGGATGTGAGAGCTGGACCATAGGAAACGCTGAGCGAAGGAAGATAGATGCTTTTGAACTGTGGTGTTGGAGGAAAGTTCTGAGGGTGCCTTGGACCGCCAGAAGATCCAACCAGTCCATACTTCAGGAAATAAAGCCCGACTGCTCATTGGAGAAAAGGATAGTAGAGGCAAAGATGAAGTACTTTGGCCACATCATGAGAAGAAAGGAAAGCTTAGAGAAGACAATGATGCTGGGGAAAATGGAAGGAAAAAGAAAGAGGGGCCGACAAAAGGCAAGATGGATGGATGGATGGCATCCTTGAAGTGACTGGATTGACCTTAAAGGAGCTGGGAGTGATGATGGCCAACAGGGAGCTTGGGCGTGGGCTGGTCCATGAGGTCACAAAGAGGTGGAAATGACTGGCTATCCTAATTTAAAAGGGATCATGGGAGAAGAAAAGGCTAAATGTCACATGAACATATCCCAAAACACTGCACAAAAGTGTTCCACTGGCTTCACATTTTGTTTTGAAGTAAGATTGGTGAGACGGATAATTAAACCACAGCATATAGAAACATTGGTATTATTTCTTCTCTACACTACTAAAGTCAAGAAATAAAATGCAAAACTGTATATTAAAACCCTATATAAAAATTAATTCCATATTGCATATTGATCAATAGTACCCCCAGAAACTAGTGTCCATCCGCAGTAATTTAATGTATTGTAAGAGTCTGAAGCATTACTATGAAGACTCTAAGAAAATGATTTTTTTAAAGAATATTGAAATAATTTCAATGCTATCATGAAGGAAAGTGGCCAATTTTATTGTAGAGAAATAAAAATTGCTCCAAATGAAAAATCACTACTTGTCGCAATGGGATTTGACTGTTTCTTCCTCTACAGAAAACTCTTTCAGGAGTGGCAGAAATGTATCACGTATCCTCTTTGGTACTTTGGATTCAAAGACAATCCATCCCAAAAACACCAGCATTAACCTTAGGCCCCTTCCACAGTGCTCCAATATCCCGGGATCTGACCCCTGATTATCTGCTTATCCCAGGTTATCTGGCAATGGAGACTCATACAATCCAGTTTAAAGTAGATGCTCTGGGATCACATCCTGGGATATAGTGCAGTACAGAAAGTGTTTTAGGATCACAGAGAGTGCTATGAGGAATATAAGATGCTGTCTCATAACACGTCAGGTAATCTAGTTAATGATGAATGGAAGCAATTCCAAGATGAAGACACAACAAAGGGAGAGTTTCCTCTGTAAAATTTCATTATTTTTTTTAAAAAAAATTAAATATAATCTGGTACATCTATTGCACATTCCAGAAATAAGAGAACTTCAACAAGTGTGCAAAAACCTCCCCTCTTCCTGTTCTGCATGAATGACACTTCTCGCAATATTATCATACTACACAATTACAGCATTATGATTCCACTTAAACTTTCATGGGTTCATCCTACAGAATTGTGTTTCAGCTACTAACATTGCTGGCTTTCTTCAAGGGCTACACTTTGCTTAATGTTCCATTTCTCTGGAGAATGTGTTATCCAGCTCCACATGTTTCTGTGTAAAGTATAGCTCTGGGTGGCCTTTCATGCTGCTCCTTTATCCTAGATTATCTGATTTAATCTGGAATATATGAGTCCCCACTGCCAGATAACCTGGGATAAGCAAATCAGATCCTGGGATAATGGGGCAGCATGGAAGGGTCCTGAGGAAGGCCAACTCTTTTAGTGGCCAAAATGTGTAAGACATTTTGGCAGGATCTAGTAAAGGTAAAGCTTTCCCCTTGAAATTAAGTCTAGTCATGTCCAACTCTGGGTGGTGGTGCTCATCTCCATTTCTAAACCAAAGAGCCAGTGTTATCCGTAGACACTTCAAGATCATGTGGCCAGCATGACTTCATGGAGCACCATTACCTTCCTGCAGAAACAGCACCTACTGATCTACTCACATTTGCATGTTTTCGAACTGCTAGGTTGGTAGAAGCTGGGCCTAGCAGTGGGAGCTCACCCTGCTACTCAAATTTGAACCACTGACCTTTTGGTCAGCAAGTTCAGCAACTCAATAGTTTAACCTGCTGTGCCACCAGACACAGCGGATGTACACTGCCATATAATCCAGTTTCTGAATGCAAGGTGTCTGCATTGAACTGGGTTATATGAATCTACAGGGCCATATAATCCAGTTCAAAGTGGATAATCTGGATCCATAAACTAAATTATATGTCAGTGTGGATAGGGCCTTGAAAACAAATAAAGCAAGTGGTTATCCATCAGCACATGGGGCTTTGTCTCTAATTTACTTCAGACACTATGCTAAAGTCAGGGAATCCCAGAAAGCAAGTAGAATACACTAGTTAATAAATAGATATTTATATAAATTCCATTGATTTAATGGGTTTACCCAGAACTAACAAGTGGATGTAGTTTAAGGATGGAAATTGGGCTGTTGCCAAAGCCTCAATACTCAGCTACTGGCTATGGTGGCTAAAATGGTCGGGACCCCTTCCACACTGCCATATAATCCAGATTATCAAAACAGATAATTCACATTATCTGTTTCAAACTGGATTATATTAGTCTACACTGCCATATAATCCGGTTCAAATCAGATAATCTGGATTTTATATGCCAGTATAGAAGGGGCCTAGGAATTTAAAATCAGCAATAATTTGAGATCAACACAATTCTTATCTCAATTAGGCCAAATAATTCACAGGTGAAAGAGGTTAAAAATAATTAGAAGTTATCATGTAGATTCCACCTAAAAAGGTATGCATCTTTTTACTAACCCCAAGTACTTAGAGGAGTACTATAGAATGGTAATATTTTGAAGCCATCACAACACATTCGGCATTTACTTCAAAAACATCAACTAAACAAAATCTCAGGATGATTGTGTGACATTCTTATATCAAAATGGATGTGAGGTTGATGCTTGTTGAAAATAAATGACACTGCAAAACACAGCTATTTATTTTCTGGGTGACATATATGTTCTAGTTATAACTATTTTATTAGGGCATACAAAATGATTGATGCAGCTGTAATCATTCTGTCTCATGGACACAGGCATAGCTAAGTGCACATTTGGATGGCTTGCAACATCAAGTTGTTCTACTCTTCCATCAGCTTTTAGACAAACAAACAAAAACTCCCCAAAAATTGCTTATTCACAGTTGAGACTGAATACCATCTTTACAAGCTGAACTTGCAGTAATTTTGTTTCTCCTATTATCATAGATGATCAAACATCTTATAAGAAAATGCATCAACAAATTTTCTATTTGCTCAAGATTCTCATGTTTTCAATTCCACTTTAATTTATGGAGTATATGGTAGATTCAAACAATGCTTGCACACTGCAATGGTGGCACTTAGATGAGTCAGTCAGTGAGGATTGTGGCAGGGAGATGGGATATTACCAGGCTTTCCCCACCTCGGGGGGGGGGGGAGAGAATCACCTCCCACATGTGTGTGTCCCCTCTTACTGGTGGCTTCTCTCTCTTCCCCCCACTTCACAATACAAACACAGAGTGCGGTGTGCTCCTAAATATAAGGGAGAAATGCAAGAGTGATATGGGAGCCAGAACGATCCGAAAAATACACTCTAAACATTTACTTAGGGATGTACACACAGTAACTATGAGAGGTCTAGCAAAAAATCCAAGAACTGAAGGAAAATTTCATTGGGAACAGAATTCTTATTCAGAGGGACATTTGCCTACCCCATAGATATATCACTGCAAAACTTCTCCAGAGTACCAACTAACTTGTCCATGCATCACACAAAAGACCAGGGAAGATGAGGTGGGAAGAATATCAAATGATCATTTTGACCCACTTGGGTTGGATCTACACACTGCCATATAACACAATTTGGTCAGTGTAGACTCATATAATGCAGTTTAACTGTACTATGTGGCACTGTAGATCCAGCCCTTGTTTATGATGAAATCTTCAAGAAATTGAGAATACAAGTGTCACCACCTCTTCGCAAAGGGTAAGCCTCAAAGACATGTACAAAAACCTACCTATGCTCCTTTCTTTAGCACATGGCAAATCACCAGATATTATTATATAAAGTGTGATGAAGATGAATGTCTGTATTTCTCAAAATGCAGACCCACAGAGAGCAAAAATAACTGGCTCTCCACAGCTCTACCATCAACCTTGGATTAACTTTGAAATGTCTATAATCTTAAACAATGGTCTTCAGGGTCATTTGCAAGAAAAAAACTTTTAAAAACACCACTGTTTCATAAATGGGTGTGGCCATCCTTCGGTTTTAAATGTGTTATATATAATACAGATAGTCACAACTAAACCCTCAAAATGCACTTTTATGGCAAGCAGAAAGTCACAACACTCAAAACATGTTTGCTGCATATGTGAATACATTTGCATTACGCACCTCAGGAAGCGAGACTCCTAAAGAAGGTAGAGTCTGTTGGAGAAAAACAGTTTCAGCCACAACATTAAAACTGTAAGAACACACAAAACTATCAAGCAAGTAAGCAATTTTAGTCCTACTTTTCCATTACAAGTTAAAATTATCAAAGAAAACTTAACTGGGGGGTATTTTATATTGATTATATGCACTTATATCATACTTTTCAAAATGTTTGATATACAAACTACATTGGAAAAATTTAAAACAAGTAATATCATCCAAACTGCAGAAGAAATGGAATATCAGTATAAATTCCAAGATTTCAGAATTAAAATATTTTTAAAATTGGTTACAAAAATACTTCTAGAACAAAAAACATTTTACAGTACATCTAAAATGGCAAGAGTGGGTGTTTAACAGAGATGGTTCAATGTTACACACAAAAGAGTTCTAATAATTAAATCTCTGCTATTAACAAGACAGACAGCAGGCTTTCTGGTGCACATCTCTAAGCTTGCGTTGGTTCATAGGGAGAGAAATTGTTCTAAAAATGACCTTTAAAAACTTAAAATCTAGTTAATATCTGAACTTTAGAATGAGCTTGTAAACAGTAATGTGTGCTAGCTGATTTGCTCCCACCAGCATCCAAGTGGATGCTGAATTTCTTGCTTATTTAAGAAAACACTAATTTCCCTGTGCTCTTTTCAAGTGACACCAACATAGCTGCAAGGACTATCTCAGAATTTATCACCATTATCACACTGATAAAAACTCAGTCCAAATGTCCAGATAAACTAATCTACAATCCTAACCCTAACCCTTTCCTAGATTCCTCCTGACTAATGCTGCTAGAGGGACACAAGTCAAAAGTGTCGGTAATCTATAGGTGAAGAATTTGTCCATGTGCCCAAGTTGCCTAAACTAATAACTATTACTAACTATTTAAACAAGACTGCTATTTCCAGTTGTTTGATACTTCTAATTGTTGCGGGCTCCTTGTTTTCCCATTCTGCTTTCACTTTTAGAATATAAATGTTCACATTTAATAAATCATAACTGCTGAGATTGAAAATACTTATCTTCAAATAACTAAAGTTCTGAGATGGCATCAGGAGATACTATAAGTTGATATTATGGACCTCATCATATTAGTCTACAGCCCTGTCCTATGATGCTTACAGGACAGAGTCTGATAGAGTCCATCACATGATACAGGGCTACTCCTTGTGGGGGTTCGTCCTGCAAGTGTTGTAGAGCAGAGCCCTGAAAACACAGGAGGCTTCCTGTGTTCTTATCCAGAAAGCTGGGGAAAGCTGACCAGGGATGGCAATGCAGGTGATGTGGGGTGCAGCACAACCCTTTTCGCCACTACCTGCCGGATTTGCCACAGATGACCCTCCTTTCTCTGGGCTTGAGGATCTCTGTCTGATTAGGCCCTAGGTCTCTTTGAATTGGATACAATTCAGAGAAAATACAGGCACAGAAAGAAACCATGCTATTACAGGATCTATGAGGTTCCTTTGGCTAGATATTAGTAGATGTGTGTATGATGAGCAGCTGCACCACTACTTCACTGACAAATGGACCAAACCTCATTTTAACATATCCCATCAGTTCTTCTTTCCTCTCAGTGAATGCAAAAATGTACACTAGAAAGATATCACATGTATAGAACAACTCAGGTTTGGAAGCATTTTTACTTACATGAACACTATGCCACAATCCTTGTCAAAATGTTTGGTTTGTGTCTGTCAAAGATCTTTACTTGCAGAACTGTGAACCCCAGGTAAAACTCAGGATGACTGAAGAGTGCAAGCTACAATTGATTACCTCTTTCATTCTAAAACTGAGCTGTACTCAAACAATGATGATAGTTAATTGAAAGATGCATCTTTCCCCAGGGGGCAGCTATTAATTTCAATCTGACATCAAAAGAAGCAAAAAATAGCACTTGCTGTAGATAAAAACACTATAGCACAGTTTTGACTAGAAAGAAATTGTACTCAAGTCAAAACTGAATACTTCATTTCTGAGTTTTTATATTACACAGAAAAGCTAAAGAGAGACTGCTTATAAGAAATGTAGTCAACAAAGTAAAATGCATTTCAGTACGAAGAGTCAGGTTACATGGTTAATACATGGATCAATCAGCAAAATTTGTATTTCCTTGGCAATGCTCACAAAATGATGCAGTTCTATTTACTCTGCATTTCTTTTAGGACAATTCAGTGCCATATACTACAACCTATGGAGGCTATTTGAACAACCACAGAGGCACGAGGAAGTTCCATATCACCCTCAACTCTCACAATGAAAACTGGTAGGGTTCAGAGGCTGTCATGAGATAAGTTATCAGTACAATGCATTGATGCTGTTACTTCAAACAGAACCAGGTATGTACATGGTGGAATTAATGCAGTCTGGCACCATTTTAACTGCCATGACTCAATGTTATGCGATCCTGGGAGTTTTCTCTGCCAAATGGTCCTAGTGTCTCAACAAACTACAACTCCTAGGATCCCATAGCATTGAGCCATGGCAGGTAAAGTGGGTCAAGCTGCATTAATTCTACAGTGTAAATGCAGAATAAGACAAGTCTGAGTTTTAAACTTCTCTCTACACTATTCTGTGGACAGTTGTTCATTATCTTAAAGCCCATGTTGTCAAAAATATAACATAGCTTCAGGCAGATGATGTCATATTACATAAACTTCAACTAATAGCAGGAATACTCTCTGCACAGCATTCTCCTATACTTTCTTTGGGAAGTACACCCCAGTAGCATTTGTTCAATCTCATTTCTACAGCTCTGGTGTAAAAAGGTGAAGTGCTAAAAGAAACTGAGGTGTCTGGAAGTATAAATATATTTTAGAGAGTGACATATTATGTGGGTTCCAAAGAGTTATTCTGTTATGGAACAGATTATGCAATATGCTTAGGGTCAGAACTGTATTTGATTTTGAGTTTTTAAAATATTTTGGAATACCTATACAGTATTTGCGTATATGTTCATGATCGAATACACAAAAAAGTCTATCCACAATGAACCATGAGAAAGAAAAAGTCAGTTCTCTGCCTCCATGTGGACAATGTTAGATTTGAGGATAGTTCAGACTTTGGAATTTCTGATAAGGGTTGCTTCAACTAGTAATTAGGTTTTTTGCAAAATGCGATGATTTGTGGCTGCCCAGACCTGATATGGCAAGCATTTTTTGAAATATGCTCATCAACCTTAATAGGTTGGAGACCTTTGGCCTTGTACAAAAGATATAAACTATTGATAAAATATTTATTTTTCAATGGTTGTTGCAAAGTAAAACAAAAGTCTGGCTTGCTTTATATTGTCAGAATAAAGTGATAAAAGTACATTGTCCCATTTATGACTTAAATTAAATTGCATCAAGATCCTGCCTGAAGCTGGTAAACATCCACATTTTTCTCTCATTAGACTCAAAAATATCATAATTTTTGAAGTGTCCATGCATATTAATTTTGAATAAAATGAAATCTGTTATACTAATAATGTTGAGCTATCTGAAACTGAGTCTATGCTTTCTTTTTATAAACCACTAACCCCCAGGTTTGAAATGTGGATATATAGGGTAGGTGGTAGTGCCTAACTGCTGGAAGTAAACATTTGACTTGTTTTAGAATATAATTGTCAATAAAAATTGCAATATTTCATTTATAATTGATAGTTCCCCTAAAGTTTGCCTTTACTATCAAAATTCACTACTTAATATTATCTTTGAGAACAAAATAGGAAATCCAGCCTCACTTCCCCTCTATTTCCCTATGGTTTACAATATTGATACTGCCTATTGATTAGGTGTGAAAATATGTGCTCATTACATAACTTAGACCACAATACAAAGGGCACAGTTTCAGGAGTAGAAGATCTGAAATATTTACAAGACAGTCAGCTCTTCAGATTTTTTTTCTTTCAGCACTTTCTACATCAATTTTTCCCCAACAAAATGTCTATGCTAGCTGAGGATGATGGGTATTACAGTACAACACAGCTACAAAGCCTCAAACTGCACAAAGCTGTTCATTTACTGGTACAAAATTGCAGAACCATTTGTTTTTCAAAGAAAAGGAATAGAAGTAGAAAAGCAACATTTATTTTTCATCTACTTAGAATAATAGAATCATAGAGTTGGAAGAGACCTCGTAGACCATCCAGTCTAACCCCCTGCCAAGAAGCAGGAAAATCATGTTCAAAGCACCCCCAGCAGATGGCCATCCAGTCTCTGTTTAAAAGCCTCCATAGAAGGGGGGGGGGGGTAGAGAGCTCCACAGCTGAACAGCTCTTACAGTCAGAAGCTTCTTCCTAATGTTCAGGTGGAATCTCCTTTCCTGTAGTTTGAAGCCATTGTTCCACGTGTTAGTCTACGGGGCAACAGAAAACAAGCTTGCTCCCTCCTCCCTGTGACTTCCCCTCACATATTTATACATGGCTATCATGTCTCCTCCAAGTCTTCTCTTCTGCAGGCTAAACATGCCCAGCTCTTTAAGCTGCTCCTCAAAGGGTAAAGCTAAAGAGGTAGGTATATATGGTGCCTGACTCTCTGATTTTCCAATAAATGATAGCTTGTTATTATATTAAAATATTGGATGGGATTGGAGATATAATTAATTCCCTTGTTTTAAAAAAAATTGTTTTGCAATACATAGGGAAAAAATCGGGTAATCACTTAGCACTGACAAACAAGATGATGTAACAGGAGGAAAATGCTGTACCAAAATATTTCAGAATACATATACATCTTTATATAAAACATGTCATTGAACAGGACTTGTTCTTCCAACCTTCCTCATACGAGGAATTGCTTTTTGTCTTCTATCACTGTCTTTCTCATGCCAATAACCAACTTCTAACCTTGTTATAATCTGATTCTATTGTAATACATAATATGAGATTAAATTGAGTTAAAGGTTTCCTTAAACTTAATGCCAGCCAACCTCATAATGAACTTTTATTATGTGCATGCAATTAATTGGATCCAATGAACAATTTCAGAACTGAGTTATAGCCTCCCCCTTACCATATA